GGGCGATCAAATTTGCTAGTTTATTTTTAGTTTCGCCGTACTATCAAGGGGGTAATGACCTAGCAATGAGATGATTTTAATTGCCACATTAGGTCATTGCATTTTTCACTTGTGCTCACATTTCATCACACACACACAATCTCTTTGCATCTCACTGTCTGGCCTGACCAGGGGCGGTCAGACCGACCACATAGTGGCGGTATGACCGATGGCCTTGGCCGGTCTGACCGGCAAGAGAGTGGCGGTCTGACCGGCCAGGCAGTGGCGGTCTGACCGGCGGGTATAGGCCGGTCTGACCGGCCGGCCATATGGTCGGGATGGCATGCTCTGGGATGGCCGATCCCGAGCCGCCGGAGCCGTATTCGGTCAGACCGAGCTGGTGGCGGTCTGACCGAGCCGAGGCCGGTCTGACCGGCCACGGCAGTGGGGCCCAATGATAGCCCTACAATCGCTAGAAAACTAGCCATTGTAGAGTAGCACGGTCTGACCGGCCATATACCTCCGGTCAGACCGACAGAGCACAGAGTTGGGGGATTTCGCCCCCAACGGCTAGTTTTGGTTGGTGGGAGTATAAATACTCCCCCTCCAGCAGCAAGGGGACTCTCTTAGCACCCAATTCAATTGCATACACCCCTTGCACCTCTCTCGCACCCACTTGAGCTTTGTGTTCATCTATCTAGTGTGTTAGAGGGTTAATTAGCCAAGAGTCAAGTGCATTGCTTCCATTTGTAGAGCTAGTGTGGCACTTGATTGATCATCTCCACGCCGGGTCATTGCTTGTTACTCTTGGAGGTTGCCACCTCCTAGACAGCTTGTGGAGGAGTTGCTCGGTGACCTCTCCAAGAAGATTGTAGAGGAGTCCCGGCGTCGGTTTGTGAGTGGTTTGGAGTTCACCACCTTCGGAGTGAAGGAAAAACTACCCCGAGTGATCGAGGCTTGGGTAGTCCTCTCCATGGCCTGGCTCCCGCCTTGCCCACCCCTTGACGAAGGGGGCGTGCGGTGGCTTCGTGGTTGAGCGGTGGAGTTAGGCTCGCCTCAACGGGGAGTAGGAAACCGGCGAGTTTCCGAACCTCGGTGAAAAATCTCTTGTTTCCTTGTCTCATTTGATTGTCGCATTTACATTTGTGCAATTTATATTTCTAGAGACATACTTGAGATCATATCATCCTAGGATTGTTAAACATTGATATAGGAGTGTGATTTACTTTCCTAGAGATATAATTGAGCCACTATCACCCTAGGTTTGCAAAACATAACTTAGTTGCTTAGTTAGAGTTGACCCTCACCAAGCCTAGCAATTTATGTTAGTTTTGATTAGGTTTCATTTAGTTTTAAATCGCCTATTCACCCCCCTCTAGTCGACATCTCGATCCTACATCCGCAGCCACCAACCCCCAGTGGCAAACGGATTACCAGTAATCCTTTTCTTTAGTGAGGGTGAACAGATTCAACTGGGCCTAAGGAATATGCGCAGGGGCAATTTGGTCCGGTCGCGTCAATATGTGGGCCTGCTCAAGCCTAGTCAGCACGAATATAATAAACAAATGGGTGCGGTGTCCTCTGGCAAATAGCCATGTTTTGAGAGTGTCTTGCCCCAAAACTCACTTTGTGCGGTGTTCTGGAGCTAATTCCACGAAGTCGCGATGTCCTGTAGCAAAATTTGCCTTTTTAATAGATGACGTTGTTGACTTTTGAAATAACGTTTGACTATTCATCTTATTTAAAAACTTAGTGTAAAAATGCTAAAATATACCCCCTCCGTCCCAAAAAAAAACTCAACTTGACCCCTCCTAGGACAGTGAAGTCGCGATGTCCTTTATCAAGATTCGTTGTGCTAGGAGGGGTCACATCCCCTTCTAAGTTGAGTTTTTATTGGGACGGAGGGAGTAAGTCATACTTAAAGTTTATTTAATGGTAAAACATGCCACAACAAAATAGGTAACATTTATAAAATATTTTGAGTAAGACGAATAGTCAAATATAAACAATGTTATCTATTTAAAAAAATAGGAGTACTAAACAACACCGCACAAGATCGTAAAAGATAATTTTGTTGCACAATATAATTTTGAAGCTCATGGGTCACTTACGAGACGCCGCTGGCCATCTCCGCGTGCCCCAGCCTAGCCCACCACCCCTGCCGCGGCCGCGGCCGCCGACGAAACCCAAGAGCCTACCTGCGGAGATGGACTCCGAGCCTGAGCTCAAGGCGCCACCTTCGCCTCCACTTCTTGCCCTGCCACAGCCACAAGCGGATGGTGCAGCGAGGCCGTGAAACCTGCGACAGCGGACGCGGCGGCGCCCAGCCGCCTACGTGTCGTGGGCTATAGCGGTGCCCGTGCCATCCTCATCCCGACGCCAGAAGCGCGCGGCGTTCTTGGTGTTTCTCACCCCGGAGGAGATCGAGGAGGACATCTATGCGCCGCCGTCCCCCTCACTCCCATCAGCGCCGCCGTCCTTCTCCCCGAGTTGCCACCGTTCCCCTCTCTCTCGTCCGCGCCGCTGTCCTCCTTCCCATCGCGTGCTCACCTCCAGCATGGCGGCTCGGCGAGTGGAGCGGAGGCTAATGGAGAAGGAGATGGAGGCGCGGCTATGGAGCTCGCGGTGCAGCGGCCGCCGGAGAGAAAAAAAAGAGAAGAAGGGAGAAAAAAAAAGGAGGAGGAGGAAGAGAAAAAGAAGGAAGAAGGGAGAAAAATAAAAAATTTCTATGTCATTATCCACGTGGCGTGCCACGTAAGACCACAGCCAAACAAGACTTTGGATCGGGTTGATACAATAAACCAAGTTTAGAGATCTCAATGTGCGTTTTATAAATTTATGGACCTAACTGAAACCTCACGGCAAGTTTAAGAACCGCTGGTTTTACTCTTTCAAATTCATTTTAGCTACCACTAATAAATCATGTACTAACCATCGCTCTGTACCCTCACAATCGAACTCAGCCTACGAATTGCTTTCTCGACTTCCACGACGATCTGTGACGGGAAGAGGGTGCCAGGGATCCTGTGCTGTTGTCGACGAAGATGAGGTCGAAGGCGTCGTCCATCAAGAGGAGTTGGAAGGAGCCGATGGCATGGTCGGTTCCCTTGAACCGGTCAAAGAAGAAGATGTAGCAGAGGAGCAGTGGTGTTCTTTTCTCCAAAAACATGAAGATGAAGATTAAGTTTTTTACGTAAAACGAGGTGGTATTAAAGTATAATTGATTGAGTTTTAATTATTATAAACTTTAAAAATAGATTAATATGATATTTTAGAGCAATTTTCATATAGAAAGTTTTCACACAAAACACATCGTTTAGCAGTTTGAAAAAGAATGTGCTATGAAAATCCAAAATTTCATCCAACTCTTATTGGAGAAATGAACGGAGGAGAGAGGGAGAGAAAGAGGAAGGGGGGGGGGGGGCTGGTAGTGATGAAATATAGGTCCTTCCCGCTATAATTTTTGTAAGGCACCCGCTACCATATAGGCCTCCTCAATTTTTTTTATTTTGTGTGTTTTATTCCGTGCCAAAAAAACGCCATATCAATGTCATATAGGACGAAGACCATGTCAAACGTACCACATAGACACTACGTTAGATAAAACCGCCTTCTAAACCGTCTAGGATTTGATTTACATTGATTTTGATAGTTGGTGGATATTATATATCTGATGTCGCGGTTGGGGCACTAAAATAAAACTCAACTCATAATTGAGAGACCTAATACTTTTTCTAAAAAAATTTCTGACTAGGAATGCCACGTCAGCGAAACCAGATATTTATACTGCTACGGGACCTAAATTACATGGTTTTGTATAGTTTATGGGTGAAGATTTATGGTATTAAGGATAAGGGATGCCAAATAATCTCGGTGTAAAGTTTTATTTTCGGGGGAAAACTCGGTGTAAAGTTGAGGGACGACGGATGAACTTATTCCTTTTCCTCCTGTTATCCAGGCTCGTGCGAGCTCATCAGGCATTCAGGCCTGGTTTGCCGGCCATATATTATAACCCAATCCAAAAAGGAAAAAGTATACTTTGAGTCCCTCAACTATCGTCCGAATATGATTCATGTCATCCAACCATAAAACCGGATATATCGATTCTTCAAACTATTAAAACCGGTGCAATCAATGTCCCTTGGTGGTTTTAAAGGTGGTTTTGGCTTACGTCACCTACATGATGGTCTTAACCGAGTCTTTGTCCAATGTGGCGCTTACGTGGCATTAGAAAAAAAAACAAAAATTAAAAAAAAGTGTGACCCATATGTCATTCGCAAAAAAAGGTATCGTGGGACCCACATTGTATCCTCCCTCTCCTTCCCTTCTTTTTCTCTCCCTAATCTCTCTCTCAGCTATCGGAACATGAGGAGACGGCGGCGGCGTCGGCCGAAAGTGGCGGCAATGGCTTTGGGGACAACAGTAGGGAGTGGTGACGGCGTCTGGTGGTGGTGCACGCACCCGTCCAAACCCAGGCGACGTCTGCGCGGTGGGGATGAGGAGGAGAAGGCGGAAGAGGTTGTTTGCGGGGAGGATGCGGTGGAGGTGGACGGCGTAGTTCAGGGAGGAGCTCATGCTTCGACCGCTCCCGACCGCCGCCGCCGCCGCCGCTCCCCACTGCCGTCCTCGCCGCCGCTCCGGCCAAGGTGAAGAGAAAGCCCGGGGGGGGGGGGTGGGAGGAGCGGAGGAGGGGGGAGAGATATGGGAGAGAGAGGGGGAGGAATAAACTTTTTTTTTTGGTGAATGACATATGAGTCCCACATTTTTTTTGTTTTTATTCTAATGCCACGTAAGCGCCACGTAGGACATACTTGGTCAAGACTGTCAGTCCGTCACGTCAGCCAAAACCACCGAGATATTGTTTATACCGGTTTTGATAGTTGGAGGAGTCGAAAACCGGTTGGAGGACATGAATCATACTCGGGCAATAGTTGAGGGACTCAAATTATACTTTTTTCCATCCAAAAATGGGCGGGGCCTAGACGGGCTTTTCTGGGCCCTGTGGCTCCATGTTGGTCTACCCAACCCAACCACCCACTGACCCACAGTCCCACACCGCCGGAGAAGAAGACTAGCGACGCGAGGCGAGGCTCTCGGAGGAGTACTATCACCACCCACCGCCGGCGGGGAGGAAGCAGATCATGGAGGATTTCTACGTCACCATCCCGTATGGCGCCGCGGTCCTCGTCGGGGGCGTCGCCGGCTACCTCAAGCGCGGGAGCAAGGCATCGCTGGCCGCGGGCGGCGGGTTCGGCGGCGCGCTCCTCCTCGCCGGCGCGCTGAGCGCCAGGGCCTTCGCGCGCGGCCACCCCAGCGGCTCCCTCTTCGCCGCCGTCCTCCAGACTGGTCCGTTTCTGCTAGTTTTGCTACAGTGCTACTCCCCCCCATCCTCCATCCATCCCCTCCGTTTTATTGTTTTGCTCATTTCGACATGGATTTAGTACCGATTATGTATGCCATGCTCGTAAATTTCTTGCGTTTTTAGTGAATCTAACAAGAATCTGGACCTTTAGGGGAATTGATGCTGTTGACTGACACTGGAATTGAACTGCGAGAACCTGCACAATTACATACCTGGTGGTTGTTTAACCTTTATTGTATTTAAAGAAACCTGCTATTGCTGGGAATGGATGCATCTTACATTTATGTTTGAATTTTAGCAAGATTTAGGATGTAGATTGATGAAAATGTTTGAAATGTAGGTTCCTTTTTTTGAGGAAACAAATTCAGCATGCCCAAATTCGCATTATTTTTCAGTTTAGAATATAATAAGTTAACAAGAAACAATTGCAGTTCCAAAGGGTGAACCTCCACGCAGTTTTCTATTCTTTTATTATGTTGTTCACTGAATAAAAGTTCTCCCACAAGCTCTTTTCGCAATTATCAGGAGCAATTGATTTATTTACAATAAAGAAAATGACTTCTTGGAAGCTTTGGCATAGTATTTTAGAAAAGTAATTTCTTTTAGAATGTAGGGGTTGGCTAGCTCTTTGTTGAATTCTGATAAAGAGGTTCAAAGTACAGCATGACCATAAACTTGGGTTACAGATAAACATGCAGCATTTTTTTTTCTTTGCAAGGGAAACATACAGTGTTTTGGAAATGAACAATCCTGATCTTCACACCAACAATACTAAGTCCCTTGTCATGACCCGAGGCCATGACGGGATAAACACCACCGGGAATATAGCCGGGCGGCGTCGGCTCCTGGAGAATGGATGTAGATTTAGGCTAGGGAGAAGAACATTGTTGAGAGGGAGAGATTAGACTAATTGATATTCATTGCTTGCCTGATAATAGACACAATGTACAACTTGACCCCTAAGTAAGAACCTAATCTTATATTATCTCTAACTAACTAATAATCTTCTTATCTTATCTCTAACTAACTAATAATCTTATCTCTTAACTTAATTGGTATGCGCTACCTATAGGCCTTGGCCTACGGCCCAATGCCCATGACATCCATGCTAAGAGAAATAAAATGAATCTTGTGGTGGATTGTGTATTGCTTCAAAACAGCACAGCAGCATAGGATAATGCCTTTCAGAAAGTCCTCGCAAATTTCAACAAACCTGAACATATAACATTATTTTGTTTTGGCATGTCATGTTGTCTTCCTCCTGAAAATCAGTACAACTCCAGGGCTATCTGTACCAGTTCCGCTAGCAAATGCAACTAATTGTATATATCAACATGGACTTCATATGATAATTTATGCACATATCCTAATCTGATGTTTTGGACCATCTTCGATGAAGTGGAATTCTTGTTTGTTTTTTCTTGTTAAGAATTTATCTTATAAGCTTTATTTTTGAACAGTTTGTGCTGTAGCATTAACTGTCGTTATGGGAATAAGATACATCAAAACAAGAAAGGTAATGCCAGCTGGAATAATTGCTGCCGTCAGGTATTCTCTCTCTCTCTCTCTGTCTCTCTCATGTTATTGTGTCCCTTTTGTCAGGTTCTAAATTTGCTATGCTTTAATAAAATCCTTCTGTAGTTCTGTACTGATATTTCATTGTGCCTTTCATAGCCTATATTAACCATAGCCATTGTCAGCAAAGTGTAGTTATATGTGCTATATGTTAAACAATATTACTAACTAGCCCTTTGGCTTTGATTCTCAGAAGTATTTTTTCCTTTGTGCATGGAGCCCACAACCACTACACATATTTGAGAATACTTCACCTAGTCAAGTCTTTCTTTCCTTCTTTCATATACTAGATAATAGATACTACTCCATGATATCTTATTCCCATCCTTGGTGCCTTGGTTGTTGCCTTGCTGTTCTGTGCACTCTAATTTAAATATATATAGATGACGCCTTAACATGGTCTATACATGTCTTTGCAGTGCACTTGTACTGATATTCTACATCTACAAGATATCAAATGGTGGCAATAAGGTTTATGTCCCAGTGAGCGCGGAGTGATACTGGAGGCCAGGGTATTATGGTGCATTCTCTGGATAATTCTGAATCGATCGATCTGTTCTTCTAATTTGTTGCATACCTGTATTCTGCCATCCCAGTGATGAGAACATCGTTCTGCATAATGTGAATTATGAATGACCCATGAAAAATCTCGGCAGTTCAGACACTGGTTCAGCTAAGATACCAAATTCTTCTGCGATTGTGACATATGTTCCGCTTGTATCGTGTGAAAACTATATTGTCATTGTACTGCACATCTTATAATGCGGCCTTGATACAGTGATTGCTTATTAGTCATTACTAGGAACTAATTTGGGATGATTTGGTTTGTTTCAAAATTTTTTTGGGACGATTGGCTCGTTCAAAAACAAGGTGGGATGATTGATGTATCTATGATTGGATAATCTGCAGTTCCATTATGCAGAGTTCACAAAAATGATTCAGAAAGTGTCTCATTATTCAGAAAATGCAGAGTCCCATTTCTTACCCCTCCAACGCGGAGTAGTTTCCTGTCATATGTTTATATGCTACTCTGTTAAGTTAGGCTGGGGTTGAAACTAAAACCACAGCTCATCATTTGTTTTAAGATAAGCCCAGCTTTTCAGAAAGCAACAGTTAATCCATGACCAGACGCTCTGCACTCTCTTCTGTTCTCTGTTGCCTTGCCTAGCTATGCCATTGCTTGCAGATTTGCAACAGAAATTATAGTGAGCATGACAAATGATTATTAATTCAGTAAGTACTACTAGTACCAAGTTTGCTACTGTCGTGATCATGCAACCCAATCATCTCATCTCGTTATTGTGAAGTAAATTCTCTGAAGATTTGTTAAGCTGCATTGCCTTTTTCTGCTACCACTTGGTTGTCGTCGATCGCTGCCTCTTGTCTTGCCCTCCGCCGCGTCCTCTCACGGAGGAACTCCACGAGGCCCCGGAGCGCGGCGTCGGCGTCCTCGCTGCGCAGCAGCATCTCCGACACCTCGGCCGGCGTCACCTCCACGCCGGCGAGCAGCTGCCGTATCTCCGGGAACAGCGGGTGGTCGCCGACGAGGAAGTAGTTGTGCGCGAGCGTCTTGAACGCCTCCCAGCCGCAGTAGCCCATGTAGACGTGCATGTCCATCCGCCCCGGCCGGAGCAGCGCCGGATCGAGGCGCTCCTTGTAGTTTGTGGTGAAGACGATGACGCGCTCCTCGCCGCTCGTGGACCACAGCCCGTCGATGAAGTTGAGCAGCCCGGACAGCGTCAGCTTCTGCTGCTGGAGATCTCCCGCGCGGCGCGCTCTGGGCGGCGCGCCGACGGCGTCGTCGGAGTCCGACGAGGAGAAGTCGAAGTCCTCGGCCTGGTCGAGCGCCGCCGTGGTGATCTTGTGGGCTTCTCTTGGGTTGGCGTCGAAGCAGCAGTCGATGTCCTCGATGACGAGGATGGATTTGTTGGGCATGCTGATGAGCAGGCGCTGCAGCGCGGCGTTGACGCGCACCTCGGAGAGGTCGAGGTCGTAGAGGTTGAAGCGGAGGTAGTTGGCCATGGCGGCGACGAGGCTGGACTTGCCGGTGCCGGGCGGGCCGTGGAGGAGGTACCCGCGTTTCCACGCCTTGCCGATGCGGCGGTAGTACTCCTTCCGCTTCAGGAAGCGGTCGAGGTCGTCGACGATGGACTTCTTGAGGTCGGGTTCCATGGCGATCGTGTCGAACGTCGCCGGGTGGTGGTGGTTGAAGCCGTGCCACGAGCGCACCTCGTTCATGAAGATCCTGAGCACGCGCTCCCGCCGCTGGAGCTGCTCCGCCGTGGCCATGACGAAGGGGACGTAGCGCTCGAGCGCCGTGTCGGTGTGCTCGGCGTCGAAGCTGAGCTCGAGGGACTCGCGCGGGGCGCGGTGACCGCGGTCACCACCACCCTTGCCGCCCCTCTTGCCGTCGTCGCCGCCTCCGGTCTCCATGGACGTCCACCTGAACTCGACGCCGTCGAACACATCGGTGGTGGAGTCCCCGGGCTCCAAGCACAGCAGTGTGGTCCAGCTGCTGCTCCCGTCGGCCTCCTTGCAGCGTGAGCGCGCGAGGCTGAGCCGCCGCAGGGCGCGCGGGTCGATCTTGGTGGCGAGGTACGCGCGCGCCGCCTCGAACAGCTGGTTCTCGCTGTACCCGCCGTCGAGCTGCCGCCGGATCACCACCGTGTGCCGCTCCTTCTCCGACGCGCCGAGCCGCGCACGAACGAACGCCGCGCCCCACCGCGCCGCGGCGCGGAGCTCGTCGGGGAGCAGCTCCCGCGCCATAGACCGCGCCAGCACGGCGTACGCCGCCACCGACGCCGCCGTCGCCAGCGCCTTCTTGTATGCGTCAAGCACCCTCCCGTGCTGCGCCCCTGCAGCCGGCGACGGCGCCGACGCCGCCGCCGCCGCGGCGGCCAGTGGCAAGTGATCCATGGCTGGCAGCTGGCTACCTCACCCACAAACACAAGACGCCCAAGGCAAATGTCACGTCCATTTTATGGCACAAACAAGTGTGGTTTCGTGGAAATTCCCAAAAACAGGGTGATTTTGGCGTTTGTTTTTGTTTGTTTGCTTGACCTCATCAAGTCTCGTCGGATCGAATTGACTTAGGCCATTCACAGTGCAAACACCGGACCAAGTAGCTTAGTCCAAAAGAAAGCCCCAAAGACACTCATTCCCATAGTGCATGTATCCTATTTTGCGTGACCTAACTGGATGGAGATACTGTGCAAGGGAATAAACCCCACAACGCGCGTGACCCGGTTTTAAAGACACGGGCGAGTGAAGGAAATCTATTCCTTCACCTACCCTTGTTCCCGTCGTCCTCCTCGCCTCCCACGCCGCTCCTCGCCTCCTAGCCTCCCACGCCGCTCCCCTCCAAGTCCGCCGCTGCGCCGGTTCGCCGCTGCGCCTCCTCCTGGTCCGCCGCCGTGCCTCTCCCGACGGTGGGAGCAGTGGGGGCGGCGGAGGAGGAGGGGAAAGGCTGCTGCTCCGGCGTCCTCCTCGCCTCCCGTCGTCCTCGTCGCCTCCCTCGTCGCGCCTCCTTCTCCGACTGCTGCGGCGGCGAGACGCCTCCACCGCGGCGACCTCACCGAGGGAGATCCCGAGCAGCCGCCACCGCCGCCGCGAGGAGGAGGAGCGGGTTCGCCGGTCGTCGTGGCGACAGCGGTGGCGGTGGATCTATCCGCCGCACCTCCCCTCTCCCTCTCCCACTCCCTTACTTCACCGCGTCGCAGCTGCAGCGGCTTGGCATCGGCGGAGCCGCAAGCGCCCATGGAGGAGCCACGCGGCACCGGCGGCGCGGGGAGTGCGGCAGCCGCCGCCGCCGCCGCCAGTTCTTGGCGGCACGCGGACGCCGGTTTTTGGCAGCACGCGGACGCCGGTTCTTGGCGGCACGCAGACGCCGGCCGCCGGTACTTGGCTCGCCCGGATCCGAGTTGTGGTGGCGGTCGTCAACGCGGGGCCCCGGATTCGCCACCGGATTTGCGGGTCGTGGCGGCGGATGTGGTGGCCGCGGCGGAAGCGGACGGCGCGACGCCGACGGGAAGCCGCGGTGAGGAGGAAGCTGGCGCGTGGTGGCGAGATTATTGATTGTTGTTTTTTTTTGCATGTGAGATGTGTTGTTTCTTGGTGATTCCTCTTCTGTTTCTTGGGACGGATCGTGTAATTTTTTCTGCGTTCTTGCTTGGGGTGTTTCGGTGGCGGGAAGAATCGTGGGCAAATTGGGGTTTTCTTCACTTGATGCGGCGCAAGGGGACGGCGCGGCCAAGAACCACACCCCACAGTGCGCGCACCTCGCTTCTTCCTCTCCTTCTCGTGCCCTCGTTTTGGCTTGGTTTCGCGTGGCTCTGCTCGGGGGCGAGGAGCTCTGCTAGGGGGCGATTCCTTCTGCCACGTATGCTTCAATCCGAGCTGGCACCGTGTAGCACCGCTCCAGCTAGGAGCACTGTGAGAGGCCTCAGCAAAGAGTCGAGTCGTGCAGCTGATGCTGCCATGGACCTCGATTGGATTGATTTCACTCGAGAAAGAAGTTGGCATGTGAAAAAGGAGAGGGGGTGTTTACATCTATGGAAGTTTTGACATGTCATATCGGGTATTATATAGGTTGTTGTATAGGGCGTTTGGACACTAATAAAAAGTAATTACATAATCCATCAGTAAACCACTAGACGAATTTATAAAGCCCAATTAATCTGTCATTAGCAAATGTTTACTGTAGCACCATATTATCAAATCATGGAGCAATTAGGTTTAAAAGATTCGTCTCGTAAATTAGTCACAATATGTGTAATTAGTTATTTTTTAACCTATATTTAATACTTTATGCAACATTTCAAACGTTTAATGTGATCGGATGTAAAGTTTTTCTGTGGTAAATAAACATGGCCTCTTTGATGCGGATGCGGCACAAATGACAGTGGATGATCGATCGAATCACGGCATTAGGGGACCGACAAATGACTATTATTATTGGATGAAACTATACGGCAAAGGCCGTGGTACCGATCACTTAATCCACTGTGATTAAAAAAACCCAGCAAACTATATACCCGTGGCTTGTTTCTATTAGGCGGCCCTGTTTGTGAACACTGTGTGCACTGTGCAGTGGGAAGGTAAAGTGCACCTTTTTCTCGCATGTTGTTTCTCGCATGTTGTTTACGGGTGAAAACGGGATGAGGATTTTCCTACCGCCTATCTAACCCAAAGCTTACGGGAAAAGCATGAGAGGAAAAATGGGATACCCGATATTATCCGAGTTTAAACTTGAATCTATAAAATAATATGGGTTAAGATACGAGAAGAATTGTATCCGCTCGTATAAAATCTATTATAAATTCACCTATAAACATAATAAAAGATTAATTAATCACTATTTTTGTGTGCTCACACGTAATATTATATAATTTATTTTTTTAAGTAATGTTTTATTTTATTATCTAAAACAAAATATCTATAAGTTAGATATATAAATAAATAACCGTTTCCGAATCTGATTCGAAGAAAATAATATGGAATAGGATACGGGATGAGTAATAAGTTATCCGGCACTACATCTACTCGGTTCTGAATTTAACAGGAGATATATGAGAATGATGTGATCCGACCGACCCGATCCATTTTCGCCTCTATTTTCGGCTTGCTTTCTTTTTTTTTTTTCTGTGAGATGCTAACCAACAGGTGTCTGCGTAACTGCGTTCACATGAATGTTTTGTAACGTAGTACATTCTCGAATTTGGGCTGTTTTTAGATAAGAGGTGTAAAGTTTTAACGTGTCACGTTAGATATACGGACACACATTTGAAGTATTAAACGTAGTCTAATAACAAAAACAAATTACAGAATCCACCTGTAAACTGTGAGACGAATTTATTAAACCTAATTAATCCATCATTAGCAAATATTTACCGTAACACCACATTGTTAAATCATGGCGCAATTAGGCTTAAAAGATTCGTCTCGTAATTTACACGTAATATGTGTAATTAGTTATTTTTTTGTCTATATTTAATAATCCATGTATGTGTCAAATATTCGATGTGATAGGGTGTAAAATTTTACAATATCTAAACAGTGCCATGATCGTTTTAAATCAGTCTGCAGCCCGTCTAAAAATGTAGAAATACATGGGCTTGCGATTCATTACTCACTTAATTTTTTTAGAGTAAATTGTATATTGGTCCATGTTTTTTAACTATGGTTTCACATTGGACCACCATTAACTGAATGCTTTCACTTTACACCAGATTTTATTACCAAAATGTATCACTTTGGACCAGTGGCCCACTTGCCAGTGTGGCTGAGGGAAAAAAAAGGAAACTTCTCGGTTGGGAAGGAACCAGCGAGTCCGCTGGCTCATCTCCTACCACACCGTCGATCTCTTTCCAACTTCACCCAACCATCTCATGGCGGTGTGGGCAGAGATCACGCTAAAGCCTTGGGGGCAACATGGGGAGCTTGGGACTGGAAAGACTCATGTGGAGGTCGATGTTAGGCGACGTGAGCAAAGGGGAGCTCGTGTATGTCCAGGTACAGCAGAAGTCGAGTCACGGAGGCGACGGCGGTGGAGAGGAGCTTGAGCTCCGGGATAGCGCGCGGGCATCGGAGTAGCCATGGAGATCGAGGTTGAGCCGGGACAGCAGAGAGGAGCTTGAGCCCAAGTACGACGCGCTAGTGCTACTGAATATCGAGGTCAAGCGAGGTGCGACGACGGCGGAGAGGAGCTCTAGCTCGGGGACGACGTGCGAGCGTAGGTGAAGAACGAAGTCAAGCTAGCGAGGGCCGACGGCGGCGGAGAAGAGCTCGAGCTTGAGGACGGCACGCTAGGGCGACGGAGCCGCGTAGGTCAAGCTGGGGTGGTGGATAGGAGCTCGAGCTCAAGGACAGCGTGTGGGTGCTGCTGCCTGCTGGTGCCTGGAGGTCGACGTCGAGCGGGGGGAGACACGGCAGAGGTCAAGGCCGGGGGTGGCGCGCCGGCATGGGACTATGGGAGAGTTCGAGGTCAAGACGGGGCATGACGAAAGCGGAGATTGAAATTGAGACTGGGAAATGCGTGCGTGCGGGAACAGGCGGAAGTCGAGGTCGAGCCAGCGGACGACATCGGCGGAGATTGAAATCAAGCCAGGAAATGGCGTGCGAGTGTGGGCGGAAGTCGAGATCAAGCCACCGGACATCGAGCTTGAGCCTGAGACCGGCCGGCACGACGGGAACAAAAGTCGAGCTAGCGTGATGCCGTGTTGGCGGAGGTTGACCCCGTGCTGGCTGGACTACGAGCTTGAGATGCGCGGGCGTCAGCTCTGTTATATATGCTCGAGCTCTCTTAGGCGTCGTGGTCTTTGTGGTCTACAGCCATCGATGAAAATAGTTGAAGATGATCAGATAGGGATGAGAGATTAGCTCTGAGAGACTGACTATGGGCCATACGCCCAAAGTGAAAGGTTTTGGTATAAAATCTGGCCTAAGTGAAAACATTATATTAAGGGTAGCCCAAAGTGAAACCATAGTAAAAAAATATAGTCCAACATCACTTTTACAGGCAACCCAGATTACTTAGCAGATAAGCCTCCTCTTTCTCCTGATCCCGGTTCGAATCACCCACTCTACCACGTGGCCCCGCTCTCCTCCCTCCAGGACCCCCGTGTGCCGCTGCCCTTCATCAGTGGTCATGCCCTCTCCCTTCCTTACTTCGGCTCCTATTAGATGGCCTAATCAGCTAAAAAAACCAAATTTTAAATTTTCAAGCTTAATTTTGAGATATTTTCAACGTAGTTTCTTTTTTAAAATTGGCTTTTAAATTACCAAGAACACGTTTATAAAAATTTTATTTACAAATTTATTTTTATTTTCTAATAAACCGTTTTGGCTTATTAGCGATGGAGACCTTCTTCGGGTCTGTTGTCGTCCATTTCCATCAACTTCAAGAGCCTTGCATCGATCCTCGCTTCTCAACCACATGGCTGATGGCTCTCCTCCTCCCATCTCAACACCAACCCTCCCATCATCCTCCTCTATCCATACGGCAC